TCCTTAGCCTCGAGGGCCTTCTGGACGAGGCGAGCCCTCCTCGCCTCGCGTGCCTTCCTCTCCTCCTCCCCCCGCCGCAGCGCCTCCTGCACCGCCGTGGGCGGTCGGGGGCGGGGCGGGGTGGGTGGCGCCTTACCCTGCGCCGGGGGGCGCCGACCACCCTGTCGGCGCTGGACGACGGCCCAGCCGTCTCCATCACCGTTCGCGGCTGGAGCGGGACTGGGTGGACCCCACACTGACTCTAGAGCAGCCTGCTCTGTGTTGCTCGGCGGCGCACGAGGCGCCGTGGTGTCCGCTGAGTCACCAGTGGCTACGACGGTGAGGCCGAATCGTTTGAGAAGCTGCACGAGCTGTGCTACACTCATCTGGGAGGCATCGGTAGAGTTTGTGACTCTCACCTTCTGGGCATACGAGGTCTTCGGGTGACTCTGGTTGTACACCTCCCGGGCCTCTTTGAAAGACAAATTTCTGGTAGCCTTGATGGTCATGATCTCTTTCTCCTTGACGTATGCAGGGCAAGACCTATCATACGCGGAGTGCGGCGTCTGCCCCTCTCCGCAGTTGACGCATCGGGGGGTCTCCGAGTCACAGGTTTCGTCAGTGTGGTCCTGCGAAGCACACTTGGAGCACGTGGGTCTTCCTCGGCAGTTGTCCTTTGTGTGGCCGAAACGTTGGCAGCGGAAGCAGCGCATGGGCGCTGGGACGAAAGGCCGCACGCGAACCTTCACGTAGCCCACACGAATCTCACTCGGCAAGTCAGTCGAGTCAAACGTCAGAATGATGTTGTTGGTCGAGACCGTGCCTCTCTTCGTCATGATGCGGCGAGCCGCTGTCACGCCGAAATCGGCGAGCCCGTCCGCAATGTCCTCGTCGCTCACTCCCCTCAGATCGAAACAGTTAATGACCCCTCGTGAGGAGTTCTTAGATCGGTGAGGTTCCACTGTAAGCGGGATGGAGACGAGCCTCCGGCCGGATGCCCGTCCCTCGGAGAACACGAAGCGAGTAGCGTCCAACGCTTTCGCCGCCTCCTCGCTTTTCCTGAACTCGACCTCCAGCGCGCCATCACGCATCCGGTCACAACGAGCGATTGAACCAAACCGGTCGCAGCCATCTTTCCGCTGGAAGGGCGACAGAGAGCTCAGCTCCCTGTCTGCGCTCCGGAAGATAAGGATCTTAGGAGATCGTGGACCTTTGTCGAGCACCGTTCGCCTGTCGGCCGAGGCCAACGGGCGAGGATCGGCCGAGGCCGAGGGATTGGACTGGGGGGAAGGGGGATCGGTCAAGTTATCCATGTGAAAGAGTTGGTCTCCGCCAGCTCGGCCGCCGACGCTCCGCAACGGCGCCGCTACAAGGCCTAGGACGGCCGAGCTGACTGTACGGGACTTGGCGGCACCTTCCGCGGGGGAGAGAGAGACTCACCACCCCCCACGGTCGGATACCGCCTCCTCCCTTGACGCCTAGCCGAGTCACCGCCAGGGGCAGCGACAGATCAGTCCCACCGACGGAGGACGAGCACAAGTGCCCGAACCCCGCCGGCGACACCTCTCCGACACCACCCCCGGCGGCGTCACGACTGGGAATGGCTCCTCAAGTGCGGCGCCCCACTGAGTGTCCCGCCCTTACAGAACTCAGGGCCAAAGAGGCGTGTTGCCCAGCCACCGCGACTGGCTCCGCACGGTGGGGGGCTCAACCTCCAGGATCCCGTTGTCCTGGGGTACGGGTCGGCTCGCCTAGCCTAGTAAAACCGGCTGGTACCCGAGGGGACGCCACTCCCCTTACACTAGCCCAACTCGGCTGTGTTCCTGCGGGTGCAAAAAAAAAAACAACGAAAAAGGGGGAAGAAATCAGAAAGCTGTGATCGAACGAAACGCGGACATCCGGTGAGAAGCAAAGCAAAAGCAAACAAAAGGTGCTCAAGAGAAACAAAACCACGGAAACCAAGAAAAGTCGGACCGTACCATCTGTCCATCCAGCAATCAAAGCAAGTCGCAAGCAAGCATGGGTCAAGCTGGGGCCGAGGGGGCGCTACTCCCCTTGCTGGCCGAGGCCAGGGCCGCCGCGGGGCAAGGGCCCAAGGAACCCAGTCCAACAGCAACCCAGGCCGCTGCCAACCCCCTGCGGGGCTGCTGAAGCATGCCTCCTGAACTTCAGGTCGGAGTCGATAAGGACACCCAAGTCCTTCTCTTCTTCGGTGGCACTAAGGAGGACATCCCTCATAGTGTACTGGTTGTCAAGTCGCCTGTGACCTAGGTGAAGGACCTTGCACTTGTGCTCATTGAACGGCATCTGCCAAGTCTCCGACCAATGAACGAGAGCATCAAGGTCAGCCTGAATCATCGCCGCATCGCCAAGTGTGGACACACTAGCGTAAAGCTTGGTGTCGTCTGCAAATAGCTTTATTGACGATCGAACCAGGTCGGGCAGGTCGTTCACAAACAGCAGGAAGAGAAGCGGACCCAAGACCGAACCCTGGGGAACGCCACTCGCTACCTGCTTCCACTCAGATAGTTGTCCGTTTACGGCCACTTGCTGACAACGATTTGACAGAAATGACTCGATCCACTTCAAGAGTTTACCTCTGACGCCGTAACAGCAGAGTTTGTTCAGCAATCGTTGATGAGGGACCGAGTCAAAGGCCTTTTGAAAGTCCAGGTATATCACATCGATACTGTGACGACCTTCAAGAGCAATACTCCAGTCGTTCAGTGTCTCAATCAACTGGGAACTGCATGAACGCTTAGGACGAAACCCATGCTGGCTGCCAGAGAGAAGCTGTGCGTCAGTCAAATGCCGATACACTTCATCCCGGATCAGTGACTCGAACACCTTACATGCAACCGAGGTCAGGCTCACCGGTCGGTAGTTGCTGGGCAGTTGCTTGTCTCCTTTTTTAAAGATGGGCACAATCCTGCCAAGTGACCAAGCGCGTGGTAACTTGCCGGTGTCGAGTGACCGCCTGTAGAGAGCAGCTAGTGGAGCGCTGATAGCCGAGCTAGTCTCCCGCAGAACGCGTGGGTGTATGTTGTCCGGTCCCGGTGCACTAGCAGGGTTCAGAGTTAGTAGCTTCCTCTGTACCGCCGCTGGAGTTATCGAGATGTCGGTGAGATCCTGTGTCGGCCTGCGATCAGTGAGAACTGGTACTTCAGAGAGCTCCTCCTGCGTGAACACGGAGCCGAAGAAGTCGTTCAGGATTGTTGCCTTAACGTGGTCTCTACTCTCTAGTGTCCCAGTGTTGTTCCGGAGGTCACCCAGAGTCGGCTTCGTCTTCAATCTGGAGTTCGTATACCGCCAAAAGGCTCTGGGATTCTTCTTTAGATCTGCTGCCAGCTGAGATTCAAAGTTTTTACGCAAGCTCCTGGTGAGGCTTCTAAGGGAATTTCTGCATGCCTTGAACCTGGCCAAATCAAGTGGATCCTGCGATATTGAGTACTTCAACCACAACTGGTTCTTCTTTTTCTTCATCCTCAGTGCCTCCGTGTTCATGTAGATGTTCTTCCTGGACTTGGAACAACGAGCTGAGGGGATGCAGGCCGCCACCAGCCTTGACAGGGTATCTCTGAAGAATTCAAAGCCTTCTTCAATGTCTAGATGAGCCAGGCATCGCCAGTCCAGATTGCAGATCTTCTCGTTTAACAGGTCGAAGTTGGCCCGATTGAAATTTAACCTTACTTGGTCTGACGACGTTCGAGATGTGTAGCAGTGTACGTTGAAACGTAACACGACGTGGTCACTTTTGCCGAGACCTGGGAGATAGTTAAGACCCGACAGCATCCCCTCTTCATTGGTAAATAAAAGGTCAAGACATCTCGGAGTGTCTCCCTCTCTATACCTGGTTGGATGCAAAACGTGCTGGAAAAGCAACGAGTCCTGCACCATCGCAAGAAAATGGTGTGCAAGATGTGTAGCCGGTGCCGAGCAGAAACATTCGTGCCAGTCAATTTGCGGCATATTGAAATCCCCTGATATCAAAAGATGTGATGCTCCTGTTTCTGCTGCAGCTTGAAAGAGTAGTGCCACTTCTTCAATACTCTGTGTAGGATTCGCAGATGGACTGCGGTATACACAGCCGGCCAACAACCGATCTGTACCTTGAAGTGCGATTTGGATCCACAGGTGCTCAATGGATGAGTACCTCCCAAGTGAGATTACAGCAGCCTGGATGGCTGTTGACACATAAACACATATGCCTCGAGCTCCTTTTGCCCCTAGACCATATTCACCTGCATCGAAGCTGGTGTAGAGATTATAGCAGGGCAAGTCCAATAGAGCAAGATCAATGGGTGACACCTGCGCCTTTGGTATGCATTCAGTGATGAAAATGAGATCCGGCAAATCATCTGAGATCATACACAGCAAGTCATCCCTCTTGTTAGGTAACTGATCTGCATTTGTGTACATGCATTTCAATGCTTTGGCTCTGTTGATCCTGACTTGGTATATATACTAATACCCACAGCAACCATTTGTAAGTGCACAGCTGGACCCTGTTTCACCGGTGCTAGCAGCACGCTATTATCAAATTGCGCGAGCTGACGTAAGGTGACGAGGTCACACTAATGACGTTTCATGTAATACATGAGCTGTGTTAGGAACAGAGTTGATGTCTCGTTGACTTGCGTTTGATACATTTGTTTGATCGCACCGCCGTGGAGATGTTAGCAGCAATATTTGATGACATCACACAGATTGACAGCCTCATGGTTTGTTGATGTTTCGATGGAAACCCAATTTCACGCGTGTACATTAACGTGTGTGATAGCAGCGTGCTGCTATCACGGTGAAACAGGGCCCTGAATACACACAAAAAAAATGTTCAACCTTGCATGCTCAATCTAGCACAGCCATATTACTTCATAACATCCTCATTTAAAAATAATCCATAGACAAACCTGGCGCAGGTCTGATCATAGAAAAGCAAGCTTCAAAAGTTGGCATGTATCAATATGGAATACTTCTGTGCACCTTACCCAAAGTAAATTCAATTGGGAGCAACTACGAACCTCTGGAGGATCTTCAAGGTTTCTCAGGTCGTCATTCATCCCCATTCTTCTTCCACCTCACACGGTGACAAACAAATGCAGAGAACGGCCACGGTAGAACCAAGGGTAGAACTAGGTAAAACGGGCCCTGGTATTAAATGGATAATTCGCCAGCTGACGTCTGAGTCAGCAGAAAACACCGTCAGCAGCCATGAAATGGGATCGAGCACTGGGCACTGGAGGGTATGCGACGCGAGCACCACGGAAACATGAAATATCGAAAGGTGATGGACATGTACTGAATTTGGTCATTCAAGTACCACCAGCACCATAAAAAACCATATAATATCATCAAGACTGATTCTTAAATCGATTCGTTCGGGTATTTAAAACACAGTAAAAATGTTTGTTAGCAAATTCTGAAACAGTATAAGGATATTCTTGTTCCTTACTTTTTCCTTGTGGAGTACTTTTACAATACCTTTTACTTGCTTTCTAGTGCGCCCATCACTATCCTATAATCTGGATTGCAACGCTGTAGGAAAACTTTTTTTTATTTGTCGTTTTTTCCACTTTTGAGCAGTGATAATTTATTTGGCTTTATACATTAAATAATGAAGACGGCTCCTAACTTTTTAGGGATCAGCAGTGGCTCAAAGAGCAAAATCAGATATTTCCTTGAAACTTGAGACCACTATTTTCTTATATGAGAAAGAATATACAAATATTGACATCTTAATAATGATACAGGTCAGTGGCGGCGGAAGCAGGGGGGCAAGGGGGGCAGCTGCACCCTAAAGCTATGGAAAGGGGCGCCTCGAAAATCTGTAGAGGAGGCAGGAAGTTAAGAGGTGCGGCAGCCATAAAGCCGAGCAGTGCGAGGCGACACCGCAACTGATAAAGGCACATCCCAGCAAACATGCCCACATGGTTCCCATATGGGGCCCACATGGGCCCCCCACCTCTTCCATATGGGTCCCACATGGGAATGGCAGTGGGTGACACGTGGGACCCATATGGGCCAGCCCACGTAGGCCCCATATGGGACCCACGCGGCGCCCACATGGGACCCATATGGGTAGCCCATCTGTAGCCCATGTCCCACGTCGGCCCATCTGGCCCATGTTCACCCCATATGGGACCCACATGGGATGCCCATCTCCAGCCCACATGCGTTTGGCCCATCTGGCCCATTTTTATCCCATATGGGGCCCATATGGGTAGCCCATCTGTAGCCCATGTCCCACGTGGGCCCATCTGGCCCATGTTCACCCCATATGGGACCCATGTGGGCATGTTTGCTGGGATGTGACACGAACAGGGTGGCAATGACGTGGGAAAAGTATCTTTTGATATGCTGAAGAGTGGAGGGCATCCTTATCTGAAACAAAGGCAGATGCTGCCGACCCTGTCGAATATAATCTTGCCAGGCGATAAAGGCTAGGAGGGCGCAGCCACTCGAGAAGCGCGCCATGCGGAAGAGGGGCGCCTGCATGCGAAAGAGGGGCGCCTGTGTGTGGGACGAAAAAGAAACATTTATGGAGACGTCTTTGAAGGCGATAGCCTCCGAACGCCAACACGTACATATGAGGGCTTATAGCGTTGCAGGCTCCATGCGACAAAAAGGGGCGCCTGATGGCCGATATGCGAGAGGAAATTAGTTTGTGTAACATTTATCGAGGGCGGTTTGCCGTTTACAACATATGAATGTTAAGGGAGGTCCGAGATTGGGGCCTGTAAAATTGCACTGTCCGTATGGGCGGTTACACCCCTAGTGCTAGGGCGTATTTTGCGTTTTTTTTTTTTTTTTTTACTTGGGAGATGATTATGACCAGGAATAGCACTCTGCAAACTTCTATGGGCGCCTGTATAGGGGCGAAACTGATTTTCCAGTGCAGGGACGGCCATCGGCATTGTGGGGCGGCATTCATTCCACTAGGGCGTCTGCCAGTGTTGAAGGGCGGTATTCATTTAAATGGGGCGCCCGTTGGTGTTGATGGGCGACATGTATCACCTGGGGAGCCTATCGGAGATTGGGGCGGCATTAATTTCACTGAGGCGCCTATCGGCGTTGACGGGTGGTATTTATTCATCCGGGGCGCTTATCGGTGGTATAGGCCGGCATTCGCTTCACTGAGGTGCCTATCGGTGTTTTAACCCTCGCATGTGTAGGGGGGGGTCGGATGGACCCCCCCCCCCCCCATGGTTTTTCGCGAATAACTCGCGTAAAAAGCGGCCGATCGCGACGAAACTTTCAGTACCCTCGCATTGATCAATTTTACACCTACCCTGAAAATTTCATGACCCTGACCCCAATGACCTTTGACCTGTGACCTCTTTTCCGAGACCATGTTTGGCCGGAATCGCGATTCCGCGTATGTCGGCTCGCATTAGCCGCGCGTTTGCAAGCTTTTCGTGGTTTCAAACGTTCAAACATGTGATTTGATGTTGCTCCCATGCATTAGGGTGGGTGTCAAGGTCACCTGAAGGTCAGGTCAGGTCAGTGACCTTTGGTGACCTCGGTTCACTTTTTCGAGTTTTACATGTTTCTAGGCTAGTTTTTGGAGCTGAATTCGAATTTAGCAACCATTTGAACATTTACGAAGTAGTTTTGGTGACTTCGTAACATGTTACGAAGCTGTCAGAGGCGGTTGACACGTAATACTAATACCCGTCACGACGCCTACTGGTTGACCTGACCTGACCTGACCCGACCTGGTCTAAATGCTTCAAGACATCATCTGTGATCAAAACTAACACGATATTCGTGATCAGCACCCCGGAAAACCCCTTAGCAGCCACACTTTACGACTTTCTAACAGGTCCCGATTTTCCCGACCTTGGGTCATTGACCTGACCTGGAAGGTCAACCAATGACCTAGGACCTTAAAATTGGGTATCATCGGCTTCCTCTAGTCACGGGCAACACGCTCGTTTTTTCCGCGAAGCTCTAGCTCGATCAGGGGCCAAACGGCAAGGGGGGGTCCAACCGACCCCCCCCCCTACACATTAGAAGCTGGAAAACGCCGCACACATGCGAGGGTTAAGGCGGCAGTAAATCCACTGGTGTCTGGGGCGCCTACCGGCGTCGAAAGGCGACATTCATAATGCATTTCACTGGGAGGCATATTGGTGTTGATGTGTAACATTCATTCTCCTGGGGCGCCCGGCAATGAGGGGGCGGCATTTATTCCGTTCCAGTGGCAGGGCTGGGCGTTGGCTGGCCGGACTGAGCTGCTCCATTCCTACTCTTATGTGACGGCGAGACGTTAGACCATGAAGTGGGTTGGCCGGTCCGAAGAAGACGTGCGGTGCCGGGACAGCAGTGGTCCTTGTGCCGCGTGTATGCGGCTGGTGGGCCCAGGGGGCCTGTACATGTCGCTGGCGGTCCGTGGGAATGGTGTGAGCAGCTGGCGAGCCCGTGGGGTCTGCGCGTGCAGCTGTCCGGTCCGTAGGACCAGTACCTACTTACGTGCGGCTGGCGAGCCGGTGCGGCGTGCGCGTGCAGCCAACGGTCCGAGGGACCGGTGTGAGCAGCTGGCGAGCCCGTGGGGTCTGCGCGTGCAGCTGTGCGGTCCGTGGGACCAGTACTTACGTGCGGCTGGCGAGCCGAGGTGGCGTGCGCGTGCAGCCGACGGTCCGTGGGACCGGTGTGAGCAGCTGGCGAGCCCGTGGGGTCTGCGCGTGCAGCTGTGCGGTCCGTGGGACCAGTACTTACGTGCGGCTGGCGAGCCGAGGCGGCGTGCGCGTGCAGCCGACGGTCCGTGGGACCAGTGTGAGCAGCTGGCGAGCCCGTGGGGTCTGCGCGTGCAGCTGTCCGGTGCGTAGGACCAGTACCTACTTACGTGCGGATGGCGAGCACATCGTTTGGGGCAAGGCCATATATAGTGTTTGGGGGGCGCCCAGCGGGAAGGGGCGCTTCAATATCGTTTGCACCCTATCCTAGAATACCTTTCGCCGCCACTGATACAGGTGTATAATTCTGCAGAAATATAAATTCAAAGTATTCAACATTTTTCAAGAACCTTTTAAAAATATTCCATGACTTCTTTCAATCATTAGCGTCGCCACGGGAGGGCAAGCGGGGCAGCTTGCCCGGGCCCCCCCAACCTCGGACCGGGCACCCCCTGAGATCGATACAGATCCGATGAGATTTTGGAGTCGGGGAAAAATGGGGATACCTTTCTGAGAATGCCTGTGAGGTCAGACTCTGTTGGAGCGTGCAGTTCAAACCAAAGTCAGAGTCGCAGTCGCCAAAATCTTCAAGACTCCGACTCCAGACTCGGAAATGTCAATGCCATGATTCATGCCATGTTCCTAATTGGTTCTTTATTACATTTTGTAGCTGATTTTCATAAATTTTGAAGTGCTGACACATAATTTTCGTTCAAAGCGTGACACGAAATCTTCGGGGCCTTTCTCAACTCTCGTCAAATATCTGCATGTCTGCGACAGGCACAAGTACCGTTCAAGTGCCGCAGGGCTCATGAGCCTGCTTTTCACACAGGCTCCTAAGGAGCTCCACTGAGCTCTAAGACGCTTTCGGAGGGCCCAAACCGGCCTCTGAGAGTCCCACTGGTGTCCATGTTCTCTAGAGGGCCCATACAGGGATCTTTGAGGACATTATACCGGGAGTTCCTAAATAAACAGTCGTATTTAAAAGCTATATATTATCAGCATGGAAGGCATGACAAAAACGAATCACTTTCTAACATATAAACATACACAATAGTCGATGCCATTTCACGTGATACCATCTTCTTTTTGCTGTCTTTTCATTTGCGGCCACAGAGGACGTGTTCGAGATGAGCCCAGGCGCGCACACAGGATTTTTGAATGGGGGGGGGCACGACCTTCAAACTGGGCCCCCCATGCCGAAGGGCCCCCCCCCCCCAAAAAAAAAAATACGGCCCACGGGGCTATATTTCGGTTGGTTTGAAGCTTGAGCAATTGGTTTGTCAATGCATGGTAAAACAATTATTTCGGTACCAGCTTAATTTTCAAAACATATATATTTTTACGCTAGGCTGTTTTTTTTTTCTCTCAAATGCGACTCAGAGCCGGTACATATACCTAATCATCTAATTTATTACGTAAAACATTTCATTAATAAACATTTTTGCAGGTCCCTCAGAAATCAGCCCCGGGCAGCGACTGACTGCCGGCCGGCCGACCGGTCCCGGGTGGCTACAAGCAGGGGCCGGTCACTGTTTGGCCCGGATGTGTAGGAGCGGGAGCAGCACTCCTTTTTCACGTATATTCGCATATTTTTTTAGGCACATCGACATGAAATGTCATTATATCTGATACGATGCGGGATCACAGACTAGTTATCCAGCTTATAACTTATATTTAATGCTTAACCAATGAATCAAATCAACAGGACAATGTACGATGCATGTCGGACACGTACCCAGAATTTCGCCCAAGAGGGGGT